CATTGCATTTCCATGCTACAAAGTATCTACATATCAGATAAAACATGTTTCAACAGCTGAGATTGGTTCAATTGATCAAAGGAGTGATTTTTGAAAGTTTGTCAATGTGGGACTCAAGTGTGAAAACACCAACTTGCCAAATCCATAACTCTTAGCTCACAAATGCTATTGAGATGTGCTAGTACTTTTTAGAAATCCCTCAAATATCTATAAAACATTCATGTTTTCATGAGTTTCAAATTCTCAAAGGAACTTGGCCAAAAGACCTCTCAAAGTTGCTAAAAAAAATGAGTTTGAAAGTGAAATTTTTTTAAGTCTTTTTTCCTTCTCAAAATGAATTTGGTCATAACTCCAAATCTATGCATTTTCTGATCATGGACCACTTAGGGACTTTTGTAGGATTTGTCAAGAGCTTTCTAATGAGCTCTGAACCACCTCATTTGGATGTGTGGTTAAGGAGTTATGGTTTAGCCCCTTTCAAAACCCTAATTTCCCGATTTTTCGATTACTCCTTCATCCTTGATCCAATGGTCATGAAAATTGATAGGCAAGTGAAAAATGACATAAGGATCATTTTTTATTCACACTTTGAAGTCCAATTCCTTAAATTTGAAGGGTTGACTTTTTGGTCAACCGTACGATCGATCGGTGACTACCGAGTCGCCTGTTGACATTCTGGACTTCCTGAGACTTTGATACTTCTTGAATTAACTTTATTAAGCTATATGAATTTCATGGATTATGATCCCACCACTAAAACACCTTCCAACACCAAAGTCAAACTACAGTTGACTTTTACCGGTCAAAAACCCTAATCGGGGCTCTTGGGCTGCACTGTTCTTGATTCTGGGGTAACAACTTCAAATTGGATTCTCAATTGGCATCATATGATACCCTTGATCTTGTTTCATGGTTGAATTATCCTAAAACTTGGATTGACCAAAACCCTAAAGCTTCGATCTGATTGTACACAACCCTGATTCATTTGTAACTTGACAAAGTCAAACTTGCACTGGGTTAAGGTTAGGTAATTCATGAGTATGCTCCTAGAATGATTATGAGAATCTAAGGGGTCAAAATTTGGGGTGCAACAATAGTATATAATATATAATTTTTTTTAAACAACAAATTAATTGATAGGAGCATTAGGGGTCCTCAAACCCCTTACAACAAAAGAAGCTAAGAAAAATCCCCACCAACAACAAACAATTAAGACAACCTTAGGGTTGGATTCACACATAAGTCAAAATAATTGATGTTGGCATGAGGAATATCTCCAAAAACCGTCCACTTCCAAACCAAAAGCTTAATGGACCAAACTATATTCTCCAAAATGCACTTAGTATTGTTAAAAATAACATTGTTTCTCGACTTCCAAATACTCCACACTACCGCCAACCAAATACCGTCAAGATATCCCTTCCTAGACAACTTAGAAAAGAAAGAACACCAACCAAAAAATAATTTCCAAGAAGGTACTACTACCCTTACATCAAAACCCAACCAAATTCCTATCTTAGTCTAAATCGACTTCGATACCGGACAATTAAAAAAACAGGTGATCAATGTTTTCTTTCTCCTCTAGACATGAAGAACAAAAATCATCGTTATGAGACCAATGCATACCTCTCTTTTCTAACTTCTCTTTAGTTGCTAATTTATTCAAGAAAAGCCGCCACCCGAATGCGCGAATGTTTGTTGGCACCTTCGACTTCCATAACAGCCGAAACACTTTAATATTACCTTCTTCCATAACAACATGATCCTTAGCCTCCATTAAACATCTATAACCGAAGCTAGTAGTGTAATAATAAGTCTCCAAAGATTTGTTACCCTTTTTGTCTGCACCAGACTGCCCATCCACTGTTCTAACATACCACTCCCTACTACAACTTCTCAAAACTGCAGAGGCAGGATTTGGAAACTCGTATAAATCCATATTGCTTGTGGTAAGAAGTATATTCCAAGTTACCTTATCCTCACTCCCTACTACAGATTGCCACGTTCCAACCAAATAAACCAACACAGACAAATTGTTCTTGAGAAACACTACATCTTGCCAAATAATCCCAAAGTTACCCCACTTCTAGCTTGTGTTTGCCCAACTCCCCATTTATTTAATAGTAACATATTTTAGCATACTAGCCGTGTATAACTCCGAAAAATAATCCGTCAAAGTAGAGCCACCAATCCACGCATTAGTCCAGAAACGAGTTCTAGACCCATCACCTATAACGAACCAGATAAAACCTGTAAAATTGAAATCCAAATTAGAAGTAACCTCTATAATCTTAGACAAATCCTTCCACCATGTAGATGACGGAACCGACTTAGCGTTGCAACTGTTTGAAAGTATAATGTTATCATAATCAACATATTTAGCTTCGATGCCTCTCTTCTATAAAGCTTCCTTTTCGTCGAGAATTCTCCACTTCCATTTTGATAAAAGGGCCAGGTTGAACTCCTCTAGGCTTTTAATTCCCAAACCTCCATGATCTTTGTCTTTGCACATCATTTCCCAACTCACCCAATGAATCTTAGATTTCTCCTCCGAATCTCCCCACAAAAATTTATGTCGAATCTTATCAATCGATTTCCTAACAAGAGTCGGCATTCTATAAAAAGAAAGAACGAATATAGGTAAGCTACTTAGGGATGAGTTAATCAAAGTTATTCTCCCTCCAAAAGAAAGGAATTTCCCCTTCCATAAGGCTAGTTTAGAATGAAACTTCTCAACAATCTTCGACCAAGTGTTCAACCTCCTTGGATTGAAGCCAATCAGAATCCCAAGAAAGAAGAATGATGACTTCTCAACCTGACATGACAAAAAATTTGTAGCAACCAGCAAGAAGTGATTACTCACATTGATATCGATCAATCTAATTTTATGGTAACTAACACTCAATCCCGAAATCAATTCAAATCCCCTCAAAATAGATTTGATAGCCCAAAGATTCTTCCAATTAAACTTTCCAAAATTAAATGCGTTATCTGCAAATTGAATAAGATCACATGTCATCTCTTTCTTCACTATTAAACCATCAAAGTCTCTTCTAACCGATGCATTGAAAATCATTTGAGTAAGGCCTTCAGCAGCTATAACAAAAAGGAAGGGAGAAAGAGGATATCCCTGCCTTAAACCTCTCTCTATTTTGAAATCTTTAGTCGGACTCCCATTAACCAAAACCAACAAATGGCCGTTGAAGATGCGCGCTTCCATCCAGCCCATCTAAATAGAACCAAAACCCATTTTCTTCATCATGAACCTTAGAAAGTCTCAGCTTAAAGAGTCATAGGCTTTTTCGAAATCAACCTTGAACAAAATACAATCCTTCTTTTCCTTTGTTGCTATATCTACTACTTCGTTGGCCACTAAAACACTATCCAAGATTTGCCTACCCAAAACAAAAGCAATTTGACAACTCGAAATTAGTCCGTGTAGAACACGTTTCAACCTTGAAGACAACATTTTGGCCACGATCTTGTATAAGAAACCCACAAGACAAATCGGCTAAATTCCTCAAGCTTGGAAGGATGAGAAATTTTAGGTATCAAAGTTAAGAAAGAAGAGGTTATGGCTTAGATAGCACTGGATTTCCATGAAAACTCTTCACAAAAGCTAGAATATCATCCTTAAGAATTTCCCAGCACTTCTTAATCAACACGAAATTAAAACCATCCGCCCCAGACTCTTTGAACCATCACACTCCCAAACTGCAGGTTTTATTTCTTCGTCTATAAACGGAGCTTTCAAGAAAAGCACATCAGATGGACTAAGAACCTTTAGGTTCACAATATTTGCTATGGAAAAAATTGAAGACATCATCCTTAATATTAATAGCAGAATCAAGAATTATGTTCTCCGACTTTAACCCTCTAATAAAATTCCTTCTCCTTCTGCCCTAGATAACTTTGTGGAAAATTTTTGAGTTACGGTCACCGTCACGAATCCACTGCACCCTCGATTTTTATAACATCATGTTATCCCTAATGGACAAATGCCTCCAAACATCCCTAATAGCACCACTTCTTCTTGAAACCAGATTCTCAATCTCATCAGTATCACAAGTAGAAAGCAACCTATCCACCAAATTAATATCATCAACTGCTTCCTCTATTTTCAATTTGTGCCATCCAAAAACCTCCTTATTCCATAATCTCAACCTATCCTTTAACAACTTCAACTTTTCTTTAATAACGAAATCGCTCCTTCCTTTGATAGATAACTTCTTCCGTTCATCCTCCACATACTTCATAAAGCTTTTGTTTTCGAACCAAACATTATTGAATTTAAACGGTTTAGCGCCCCAATCCTCCTTGTTAACTTTTAACCAAATCGGACAGTGGTCAGAAACATCTCTTCTTCCTATAGTTAGACCCACTACTCCCCATCTATCCAAAAGAGACTCCAAAATTAAGAACCTGTCAATCCTGCTCTTGGATTTCCCATCACCACTAAACCAAGTGAAAGAATTTCCAATACAAGGAACACCCACCAAATTAACTTTAAGGGTTGCTATTGGTGTAATCTTAACTCAGATATTCGGCGGGACTGATCTTATTTAATTTTGGAGCGGAGTGCGGTGTATGGTTCATAGTGGAATCAGGTTGCAGCAGTCATAGTAGTTTGTCGAGTTTTGGCAGAATTTTGGTCTGGCAGTGCTTTCAATCGATGGAGCTGGTTTTGCATGCACTGATATGTATCCGTTTGGCTGTTGTGGTTGTCATGACATTATCGTTTCTACACTTTTGTATCAACAAGTATTTTTATTGTACTGGATTTGTCTATTCTATGCACAACTTGTGCTTAGTTTATATTCTCTAATTTATATACTACTACAGTTTTGCCTCTTCAAAAAAAAAAAAAAAGTAAATTCAAAACAACAATGCAGTTCTTTCCATTAAATATCTCGCAAGGCCAAATTTCAACACTGCCTTGAAAAGATGCGACACAAGATAAATTCATAATTATTGAAAACTACAAGGCATTAGTTAAGAGTTTAATTAGCATTCACTGCAATTTTCTGTCCTCGATTACAATGACCGGGAACACCGCATATGAAGTAGTTTGCTCCTTTAGTAAGTGCAATTCTGTCTGCTCCAGATACATGCAACCCAAATCCTCCAAGAGCCACACATGAGTTATAGCCAAACTCGTTCACTTTCACCACATTGTGTATCAAAGGGATGTAATTGAAAACTGCACATAAACAATCTTAGATAATAATAATTCATTATTGAACCAACCATTATTTATTTTGATGTTTAAACAAAGAAAATAGTTTGTAAAAAATTATAACTTAAGATGCTTACCGAGTATGTCACCTGCTTTGAAAGTTTTACCTGCAGGCCAATTTTGAACACCAAAAGTCCAACCTTGGCCATCACCAACAATGTATGTTTCAGCATGAATCATATTAAGATGAAACACAAACATAGATAATAGTAGCATTGTAATAACACTTGCACTACTGGCACTGCCTCTTCCCTCACCCATCTTTGAATGATTTTGAGTTCTCATAAGAGAAACCTGAGAGGTGGTTTTATAGCATAAATGCGACATTAACGACTGCTCCTATGTGGCTAGTTTTGAGTTTGATAGGTGTTTTATTTCTTTCTAGGTGTTGGAAATTGGAGTTGTTATTTTCCATGTCACTACTTTTATTTCCTTTTTCCTTTAGCATGTGTGATTCTGCATGGTTGTATACCTGTGTTTTTTTATTCAGTTATAGATGGTAGTTCCTACTGCTATATGCTTTGGATTTCGTTTTTTTCTTTCGATATGCTGTATAAAAATATATAGTATTTTGTTTTAAGAATTTTTTTTTTAAATAACCAACTATTCTGTTAAAAATACTAAAAAATTGCAGTTTTTCAAAAATTTATCAAAGTAGCTAGAATTCAACATGCAGTCGCCATTTGAAATGACGACTTAGTGTAATAGGAGGTTTAGACATGCAAGCATTCGCCACATGCAATGGCGACATAATGTAAAAAGAACAAAATCACTGGATCAATTGGCGAATTAGTTCAAGCATTTTTAGGGTTTCGCTTTTTATTTTTAGTTAATGGTTTAATTTATATTATTATCAAATAATTATATTCTTATTATTTAAAATATAGTTTTTAATAAATTTAAATAATTATTCAAAATAGATTTTAATAAATTTAAGTAATTATAAAAAATAAGGTTTAATAAATTTAAGTAATATTTATGAAATAAGTAATAATTATTGTTTTTAAATTATAAATTAATTTAAATACAAAATAAAAATTGAAGAACAATTTAATTTTAAAGCATATAAATTGATTTAAATTATAAATTTTAAAACGTAAAAACTGATTAACCATTGAATTATAAAGTGTATAAATTTTGTAAGGGTATTTAAGACATTTCATATGGGGCACATACTATTGTATTTTTCTATAAATACGACTGCAAACACATATATGTTTTCACAACATTGTATACCAAAAGACTACGTTAGTACATTTTGAGTGGAGTGAAGTCTAGAATGTCTGCATTTTTAAATCAACGTTCTTCGTCGTCGTCGTCATCAGCATCGGAGGAACGTTTAATGAAAAGAAATGTCGTAGTTGTGTTTTCAGCAACCAAGCCTCCGATGAAGGTGCTCCTGTGGAATACGCAGACATTGGAGTACTTGCATAGGGAACTGAATCGCTGGCTAGAAGGAGATATTGCTTCAGGAGAAAAGATTAGGAAAATCGAGAGGCTGGTCGAGGAGACCGGGAGAAATGGAGTGACTCGTGAATGGAGAAAAGTGAAAAATGATGTCGGTGTCCTTGTGATGATGTTGACACCAAAGAAGATAAAGTTGATGGTCGTGATATCATAGACGCCTTGGTGCAGTGTTATGCTTGAAGTCTTTACGTTGTTGTTATGTTTGTTTAATTTATGTTGCCTTCGTGCAGTGTTCTGTTTTCATGTTGTTGTTGTGTCAGTTAACTATGCTTTTAATTGATTGAAACTTGGTATTATTCGAATGAAATTTTCTATTAATAGAATAAAAGTTGCTATTAATCGAATGAAATTTGATATTGATTTAACGGGATAAGATTATGTATGAAACTATGATCTGCTACTTGATCCTACGTTAGGACATTTTGTTCGATTGTGTCCTGGTTGCCGACACGAACTACACAATCTCACCAGCTTGTCTGCGATATCCACCTCAGTTCGAATGCGTGTGCTGTTAGGCCGACCTTTTTTCTGTCTACGCATCAAGTCATTGTGCCAAACAATTTCGCTTTCGTATCGAGGCCAATAGTCCTCCTTTGCCACCACTTGAAAGCTGCACGTGTAGACATTGCATAGACTAATGACTTGGTGAATTGCAGAAAGAAGGTTGGTTGGGTCCTGGCGCAACTTCGAACATGCTGCTATGACATGAGAGCACGACATACGAAATGCTTGAAACTTTCCACAATCACACCAGCTCTTATCCAATTCAACACGGTAACATCCCCTAGGCCTTCCTTCGTTGTGATCCATAGACTCGGCAACACTGAACTAATCAGTTGTTCGGTCAAAGATTGTGATCACGTGTGTGTTAGCTTTGGCAGCTTCCTTTTTCATGAATTTCATTGAAGTATCACTATACAGTTGACCCGATTGTAATACTGAACCCCACTTCGCATGTCTGCTATCAAAGAGTGATCCTAGCCTAAAATAGGTTACCTATACCAATGTAGTTATTGTGAGGTTTCGGATTCCCTTGAAAACAAAATTCATTGATTTGACGAGGTTAGTTGTCATGTGGCCCCATCACACCCTATTGTCGTATGCCCGCGTCCATTTCTCCCTATCAATGTTACCAATCCATCTTAATGCATCCGCGTTTGTCAGTCTGATCTCGTCACTGTAGTATTTGAATGTGGGTTCAGTTAGTGCATATCCTGCGTTCACAACCTTCTTCCGTAGGGTTTTGTCTTTGATTTCCCGCATGAAATTATAGGCAATATGCCTTATGCAGTAGACGTGGGTAGATGGAGGATCATGCCAACCGTTGTCATGGTTGTTGTATGCACTCTCGATTGATGGGTGTCGATCAGAGATCAAACATAAGTTAGGTTGTGGAGACATGTATGAGCGGAGCTTTTTTAAGAAAAAACTCCAACCCCCAGCAGTCTCCGCTTCCACTATAGCGAAGGCTATTGGAAAAATATTGTTGTTCCCGTCCTGTGCCATAGCCATGAGAAGTGTGCCCTTATATTTCCCGTATAACCATGTTCCGTCAATTCGAATTATAGGCTTACAATATGCAAACTCTTTGATGCATGGTTCGAACGCCCAAAAGACTCTGTGAAAAATTTCATTTCCACCAACGCAAGTCCCGTCTGCTGTATACGCAGGCAATGTCTCCAATATCGCGACAGTTCTCGGAGAGTAGTGTTTAAGAGCCACCAGGAATTTTGGAAGTTCCTTGTACGACTCCTCCCAATTCCCAAACACCATTTCAACCGCTTTAGTTCTGGCAATCCAGGCTTTTCGGTACGAAGGAGTGTAATTGTACCTTTGAACCATATGTGCAATTATGGTACTCACCTTCAAAGACGGGTTGTCGCTAACGACTGACAGAATCTCATCGCAAATCAATCGAGAGCTGAGTTTACGATGGTCTTGCATCGGATTAGAGATTATACAACTGTGGGACAGACCAATGGACCCTATCTTCCAGGAATCGCTTCTCTTCCTAAAAGACGCTGTTAATCGGAAGGGGCACTCCTCGTTACGACAATAGATTGTATAACGCATTGGATTTGTCCGATCAACTATATAATCAGCTGACAACCCCATGTGAAACCGTTTTATTGCTCGGACACAATCTTCTTTGGTACAAAACTCGTCACCCTCCTTTAGTTGCCCTTATGTTGCGTAGTTGGGATTGTAGAAGACATCCGTCGAGGGTTCACCATCATCCAAGTCGATAGTTGTCATGTGTTAAGGTGGACAATAAATATTTCCTTAAATGATTTGAAACATATATTTCTCTAGTAATTAATATCTAATACTTAGTTATAATAAAAAAATTCAAAAAAAAACTTATTTATGAACTAAAAAGATTTTAACCATTACCCCTTCCGTTGTAAATAAATGTCGCATTTGAAGAAATATTTTATCCTAAAATTAGTATCGTATTCAGTTTCTAATGCAATTTTATTTTTTATTTTTTATTTTAATTTTCTAATTAATATTTTTAATTTATTATTTTTCTAACATTGCATTAATGATAATTAAAATACACTAATAAACAAAAATGATAATTTAATAAAATCACATTTCTTTCTATTTCATTTATAATATTATTTTAACTTAAGTAAAAGTATCAACCACTTATTTTAGACGGAGTGAGTATTTATTATTTCTTCTGTTTTAAATAAATATCAAATATTGTATTCAACATTACATAAATTAAAAAAATATATTATTAAGAAAAATAGAATAATACTAATATGTATCTTAAATAAATCTATAAATAAAAAATTTATTTGAAAAAATAATAAAACAAATTATAAATTATAAATAAAAGTAGTGCACAATTTTTAAGAAAAATATTTTTATATTTCATTTTTAACATATTATAAAAAATTCTTGTTAGCATTACTCTAAAAAATAATAGTTTCCTCTATTCTACAATGAGTGATCTAATAGATCATTTTACAAGATTAAGAAAAAAAATAAATAAAAGAGAGAATAATATTTTTATTAAAATATTTCTTATTAAATGTTGAGAAGGATGAAAGTAATAATATTAATTACTCCCTCTATTTCAACTTATACAACGTTTTGGCAATTTCACACTAATTAAGAAACTTACTTATTATTTTATGAAAAAAAGACAAAATATGTATGATTTTACCGTAATATCTCTCATAATTACATAAGAAAACGAAATTAAAAGAGTTAAAAGAATAAATAATAATAAATATTTGATAGTATATTGGAGAAAATGTCAGTAATATTGCATTAAAAATGTAGTAATATTTTTTGACAAAATGACTTATAATTTAGAATAGAGGGAGTAGATGATAGAATTGGAAAATGTGCATTAGAAATCAAAATAAAACATTTATTTTGAGACATTTTTTGTTTCAAATGAGTCACTCATTAAGGAATGTAGGAAGTAGTAATAATTAAATAAAATTATTATTATTATTATTATTATTAATTATTAATAATAGTATATTTTAATTATCATAAATATAAAAAGATGATTGAATTATTAGTGCATTTAAATGATAAAAAAACAAAATTACCTTTAAAATTAATATATTTGAAATTAATTTTGTCAAATAAAACACTCATTTTAGACATAGGGATTCAGAAACATTAAATAGTACTAATGCTAGTATTTATTATAATGAACGAATTTCAATGCGTATTTATTATTTTTTATTAGAATTTTTTTTCAACATGTATTAAAAGAAGTAATTATTTTTATATATAAATATAAATTAGGAATGATTTTATAAAAC